GACTTTTAAGCAAGTCTGTTGCGGCGTGCAACCCGATCCCCCAATATGGACTTTTAATAAGTCTGTTGCGGCGTGCAACCCGATCCCCCAATATATTCATTTACCAATTCTTATAGAAGAAATTGCCCCAATAAATACAGCAATTAATATAAACTTATAAGACAACAAGCAAACAATAATTATGATTTAATTATGAAACAAACAATGACAAATAGCAATTTATTATGGAAATCAGGGAGAAAATAGGCAGCTTAAAATTTAATATGTTAAATGTCAAGTAGCAATTAATGTACATAAATCAAATAAGCATGTAGAAATTATTGCACGAATTCAAGAACTAATATTTGACAAAGAATATGAGAGAAATAATTTTTATAACAATTATCTCGTGTATTAAAACCATTTAGGATTTTCAAATAATTATGCAAACAATTAATTTGATGACGTATAAACACTCGTCACCTCGCTATACGTCGTTCACATGCTTTTCACATAACAAATAATTTAAGGGTTCTATTCCCGCAAGTCAAGGTTAACCACGACACTAACCTCGCTTTGTAAATTCTAATAAATTATTCGACCACATCTTTTCCTTTTGAATTTGTCTCCAAAAGCATCAAATCTATTCACAAACAATTCGATATACTCAATACGAATCATAGAAATTAATTCCATATGAATTTACTAATTTTTCGGATAAAAATCCAAAATTTATTTAAATATTCGACAGTGGGACCCACATCTCAAATCCCGAAAAAAACTTACGAAATTCGAACACCCGTTCCGCTACGAGTTCAACCAAATAAAAGTTATCCAATTCCGATGTCAAATGGACCTTCAAATCTTAAATTTTCGGTTTTGGAAAATTTTATAAAAATCTGATTTTTCTTCCATAAATTCACGGATTCATGGTGTAAATGAGTATGGAATCATGAAATATAATCAATATAGGATAAGGAACACTTACCCCAATATTTTTCTGTGAAAATCGCCCAAGAATCACCTTACCTCAGCTCAAAAATGGAAAAGGGTTGAAAATGGGACGAATCCCATTTTCGAGAACTTAAGTTCTCCTTCTGGAATTTTTACCCTTCGCGAACGCGCTTAGTGCCTCGCGTTTGCGAAGTACAAATTTGTGCTGTCCAATTTTACTCTTCGCGAACGTGAGGGCTACCTCGCGAACGCGATGCTTGCCTGGCTTTGCGAAGGCAATTTTCCTGGCCAGCCTCTTTCCCTTCGCGAACGTGAGGCTTCGATCGCGAACGCGAAGCTGTGCACCTCGACCCCTTCGCGAACGTGAGGCTTCGATCGCGAACGCGAAGCTTTGCACCTCGACCCCTTCGTGAACGCGTTCCCTCTTTCGCGAACACAAAGCACAATTCCGTCTGTCTCCTCTTCGCGAACGCAAGACCTCTCTTGCGAACGCGAAGAAAGATACCAGAAGTAGATTTCTGCAGTTTTTTCCAAGTCCAAAAATAATCCGTTAACCCTTTGAAACTCACCCGAGCCCTCGGGATTTCAAACCAAACATGCACACAAGTCCAAAAACCTCATAAGAACTTGCTCGCGCGATCAAATTGCCAAAATAACACCTAGAACTACGAATCGAACCCTAAATCGAATGAAATTTTCAAGAAAACTTTAAAACTTATATTTTCACAACCGGATGTCCAAATCACGTCAAATCAACTCCGTTTCCCACCAAATTCGGCAGACAAGTCATAAATATTATAGTGGACCTATACCGGGTTCCGAAACCAAAATATGGACTCAATATCAATAAATCCAATATCAGTAAATTCTTAAAAATCATTAAGCTTCCAAACTTTTAAACTTTTCATCAAAATTCCATATCTCGGGCTAGGGACCTCGGAATTCGATTCCGGGATGCCCAAGTCCCAAACATTGATCCGAGTCCGTTTGCTAAAAATGTTGACCAAAGTCAACTCAGTTGAGTTTTAAAACTCTATTTCACATTTTAATCTATTTTTCATATAAAAATTTTTCGGAAAATTATACGGACTGCACACGCAAGTCGGGAAGTGATAAATAGTGCTTTTCGAGGTCTTAAAATATAAAATTAATTATCAAATTTAAAGATGACATTTTGGGTCATCACATTTCTAATGCTATTGCTCTCTCGATTTAAACAAGAATCAATCTTTTACTATTTGGAGAGACAAATAAGGTTTTATTTGATCATATTTTTAGCAAATAATTTTTAATTGTTTTTAGTTGTTAACTACTAACTTATAGTACTTTTTTTAGTTTCTAAATATTTTAAAAACTTAAAGAATCTATATCCTTATTTACATCGAAAATTAGTTAATTTGACTTTCGTACTCTAAAAAGTTTAAAATAAATTGAAACGGAGGAAGTATATAATATGAAAAACGTTGTCCAAATTAATAAAAAACCTATAAGTGACAAACTAATAGGTGGCACCTCCGGGAGTATCTTAAACAATAGGTACAAGTTCAATTTATATTTTGTCCTTTTTCCCTAATCCAATTAATATAATAGAATTTATTTTTATAAAAAGGGGACAAATAAGCATATTAAAGGAGACAATTTAATGTATCCATTTGAAAATGAGGTCACGTGTAACCTTGCCATTAAATAAGTGGTCCACGGATATCCTTCTCGACTAACGGCTCCGTTTTGGGCCCTTTGTTTTTCTTCAAAAAATTCACATCACGACACGTGTCCTCCAAAATCACCCTCATTTTTTTTTACATGCCCCCTCACTTATTTTACCCACCTTTCCCACCCTCTTTACCCCATCCGCATCAGACCCCCAATAATACTTTACCACAAAAATTATCATTCATTAGTATTTCATTTTTGTCGAAGCAGAGTTACTTTCAATGGCGGAGCCACATTGAATCAAGGGGTGTCAAGCGATACCCCTTCGCCGAAAAATTACACTATATTGCTAGATAATTTTTTTTATTTTATGTATATTTACTATACGTTGACTCCCTTTGATTTTTCGATATATCTAATTATTTATATTTTGACACTTCTTGATAAAAATTCGGGCTCGGGCTCGAGCACTGGTTACTTTATCTTGATAATTAATGAGACCTAAATATTTGCAAGTGAAATTGTATGTAATATAATTCAACGGGGCATAATGGACGTAAATGGGGGGTTTGGGCAGAGAGGGTGACCGTTGGCGATGTTGGATTTAGCTTTTATAATCAAAGCGTACTATCACACCATTCCTCGCCATCTCGAAGAACGTAAGATTGAGAACAACGCAATCATCATTTACATGTCGATCATATATTTTTTTATTGGATTAAATTTTATACTACGTATTATTTTTTTACTTTCTAAATTCTTCAATTACTAATAAATTTAGACATGGTAATAAATTTTAACAACACAATCATCATCTACGTATTACTAATGAATGGTAATTTTTGTGGTGAAATATTGTTTGGAGTCTGATACGGATAGGCTAAAGGGGGTGGGAAAAGTGGGTAAAATAAGTGAGGGGGCATGTAAAAAAAAAACAAAAGGGTGGTTTTGGAGGACACGTGTCGTGATGTGGATTTTTTGAGGAAAAACAAAGGGCCTAAAACGGAGCCTTTAGTCGAGAAGGGTATCAGTGGATCACTTGTTTAACGACAAGATTACACGTGACCTCATTTTCAAACGGAAGGTACAAATAAGTCATTTCGAAAACCACGAGGACAATTTTGAGCCTTTTCCCTTTAATGTATATGAGATAACAAAATTATTCTAATTAAGCTCAAAGAATTAAAGTTATTTCTGAAGAAATATCAGAGTTAGAAATATCTATGGTCAAGATATATTCCTATAGAGTCTAGTATTTAGTACTAATATCTTAAGAAAACTAGATTAATGTAATTAACTGATCAAACTATTCAATGTTAAGTAACTTGATTATTAAAAAATCGAACCTCAAAATCTTAAAAAATTAATAACTGCCAAATTGAATATTCTCTTTTGACTCCCTATAAAAACACAGTAAAATGGGTCTGCTAAACGGAGCGGGAAATTTGGATTCGAATATGGATTTCTTCAGTGATGACAGACCGAACTTCCGACGGAGGCAGTCGGAACAAGAGACAATGCCTTACAGCTGGAAATTAAGGCTAAAAAAAATATTCAATATCGGAAAATATACCAAAGATCGAGGCAAATATCTATAACTAGTGTTCGTCGGTTTTTTTCGACCGAAAGCCGTCGAAAAACTTATGTTATATGAGATTATTTTGTGGACCATATCTCATTTCGTGACTCTCTATTCCTCTTCACTCCAGCGGCGGCACCTCTTTTTTAGGGCTTTTTTCTCTCTTTGAGCTAAGGTTTGACGCTATGCTTAAAGCAAATTTTGTTCTTTTAAATTTGTTGTGTATCCAAGTTTAACTGCTGTGCATGCTTGCTTATTCCCCCCCCCCCCCCCC